TTCTTTTTTTCACTTTTTTCCATTTTGCGCTTTACTACGATTTCCTTTTTAGAGGGGGGGAGGGGAAATCAGTCTTCGCCAACAGAGTATTAAGGTGGTGGACCGGGACTATAGAAAATTGACTACCGTTTAGCTGCCAATATTGGAGGGGGTCATGAAACTATCACTGAGCCACATGCAGATTCCGTTGTGTCACGACCTAAATTATCAACCCCCCCCCCCTTCACCCCACACTCTCCCGGGCTTTAAAAAATGACTGTTCTTTACCTTAATCCCATATACAGTAAAGCTTAATCATGTTTTAAAGCTGTTTTGTTAAACACGGTTTAAATTAAAATTGTTTTCTTTGTCGAAGCTTCTTGAACTAGTTTTTGCCGAATTCAAATTTAGAAAATTGAAACTACGAGTTCCCCTCCCCTGATTACAGACTGGTAAGGCACAATCAAATGTCTATCCTAATCCTAATGATTGGGTTGTGAAGTTTTTCAAGGAAAGAATGGCAGGTGAATGCTCAAAAAAAAAAATCTAGCCTAGTTGACCGCGCTCATAGTAAGAGGCCCTGAGAACTAATCGATAATGAATTGATTGGTTTCCAGTCTTTTAGCGGAAATCTCATCATGGCTGAAGTATCATTTCTGCGTCCAATGAACGAGGCAACAAATGTCGCTTTGTTGCCCGAAGGAGTTGGCTCCAAAGGGTCTTAAGAAGACTACGCAAATATAATAAGAGTTAGATAAGTTAGAAAAACCCTCTATGTTGCCTCCCCGATAACTGCAACTTGCGGCTGCCCTTTCTGATTACAATTAATTTTGTAATCCACTTTGGGGCGTTACTTTCGACTGTGATCGTAGCTGTTTTTTGTTCTTTTGAATAGCGAATAAATAGCGAATCAAATCGTATCCTGAACACCATGAAACAATTACATATTTGATAGCTCATCCTACGTCACGTCTGTTTATACCAACCTTTTAAACATGAAAATAAGAACTGTATGTATATCGGCTGGTCATTCGGAACGACCTCTCGGAGTTTACATAACAGGTCACGTGGAATCCAAAGCGGATATATTACGCAAATTGTTCATGTTAAGATAACGCAAGAACCGAGTTTTGCGCCATTTTCATTTCTTGCGCTTAAGTAAATGGATGTGAGGTTTTCAGTCGAAGGTGAGAGAGGAGACATGAACTGAACCGCCAAAGGCTACGAAACATACGAATGGTAAGATAAACGTGAACTTCAACAGCCGCTATAAGCTTTTTTTGTGTACGTTGTTAATTATTTGAGCGATAAAGTTCAGTTTCGAATTTGAAAGAGAAGCACAAGGCAGTTGCTGTTTGCGCGGGATTTCGAAAAACGACCAAAGTACATATCCGTTTCCAGATAGCTCTATTTAAGAGCAGTTTATCCTTTTATTCTTAATATTGTAGGGGATACAGGTCTCGTGTTGGTCAGGAGCCGAATGAGTCAGTCTTCGGAAAGGGAATGGCGCTGCAAATCAGTTCCGTGACATTTTTTCAATTTGCGGTTGTTACAGAGTACAGACAAACATTTCTGCCCGAATTTTAGGTCCTCGAATCTTCGAAAACATCAGAAATACTGAAGAATGACTAATCATTGGATTGGATTCGCAAGGATCCGCAAAGGTAAGCGGAATATTGATTAGTTTTCATGTGCTGACCGTTATTTCGTCGACTTGAAGTTTGTGCAACCAAATTAACCCTATAATCAACAACTGATATGTTTAGTGAATGGGTGTTGCGTTGTAAACCGTAGGTACAGCAAATTAGTCGATCTATCAAGTTTTAGAAAATTTTAAACTAATTTTTTGTATTTGTGATGCGTATGTTTATTGGCAAAGGGGAATATAGCACATTGAAAAGAAGTATTTAACGTAGTTGAAAAATTGGCGCGCAAACATGAAATAAACAAACCGGTCGTTGATACTTATGCGGGTAAAAGTGCTTTTTTCGTATCTAGAAATGCTTGCACCGGAGAAAAAAGTCACAATTCAGATTATTTCTTCCAAAAGAACTCAAGAGAATGAATTCGTGTCGTACAAACTGACCGAGAAAGTCTCTCCAGCATTCTATCATGAGGAACTGGAAATGGCGGGCTGAAATGGCTGCCATTTTCATTTCTCGCCGAAGCATGTTTGAACATCATAATTTTGACGAGAGACGAATATGAAGAAACTTAGGATTGCACATGATCCATATAAACTCGATTATTGAACTCGAAATGTTGATTCCTTTGGGTTGAGTCTATGTATTTACCGCCATTTGTCGACTTGATTTGTGATACCTAATGTCAAATTAAAGATGGTCAAAAATCGCTTTGAAACATTCACTAGGCGAGTCAAACTGGCTCTTTTTTATTGTCTTTATTTGGCACTTGTATCTGTGATTCACTGAACGATTTTTGGACGAAAGAATATCATTCGTGGAGTAGAAGAATTTGTTTAAGTTGAAAATTTTGGAGGACATGCACTCGTGCTGTTATCACTCTTCGCGTCGAAAAGCTTCTGGAGTCGAAGCTAACAAAATTGTGTCCTTCAGCGTTGGATCTGCTTATTTCCAGTAAAAATTAAAACTCTTCGCCAATTATTTGTTTCAAAATAGCGTACTTCAGTTGGATGAATTCTAGGCGTTAAGTTCAATTGCAGAAGCCCCTCTGGAGGTTCTCTCGAGCATTCTTTCTTGCTTAAGCAACAGAAATGGAGCGCGATAAAATTGGTGCAATTTTCATTTCAATTCTTATGCCTTTTCAGACATCATAATTTTGACAGGAAAAAAGAGGGGAGAGACTTAGGATTTGACTTAATCTCGTGCGTTAGCCAAAGATTGAATAGGAAAGCTGTTTCTCCAAATATGAGCCAAATTTTGTAGAATTGTATTTTATCATCAATTCAGTGATTTCCTCAACATCATGCTTGACATCTTCGTGCATGTATCAGTAGTTTACCAATTGATATACTTCGCAATACGAACCAACTATTTAAAACTCATCTCATTACATGATTTGAATTGAAACAAATGGAAGTTGTATTATACTAATTTAGTTTGAAAATCAAGTGCGTGAATGCTTGAAAGGATTCACGAGGTCTAAGAAATAACTGCACGATCGTAACTGTTTTGTCGATCTCGAATATATGGTTAGTGCAAGAGTATTACATTGCTTTTTTCTTATTTAGAAATGTTTGCACCGAAGAAAGTGGTCACAATTTGTATTTTTTCTTCCAAATAACTTGAGAGAATGAATTGATGTCGTATAAACCGCAGGAAGAAGTCTCTCCAGCATTCTACCTTGCTCACATTAAGAACGAGAAATGGCAAGCTGACGCTTCGTGTCGATTCGTATCTGCCGTATCTTTTGAGCTAAACCCATGTTTTAAGGGCTAAACTGGTTTCTAAATTATGTTGACTGAAGAAGTGTGAGCAGGAGTAGAGCATCTACACTGGCAGGAAAACTGCGAGTGTAATTATCGATCCATGGCCACGACTGATGTTTTTGACGTTTTCGTCATTGTTTAAGCCGTGGAAATTGAATTAGTCGACTTACTTGCACCTAAATAATCTCCAATATTTTTTCCACAGACCTTGTGTTTTTGGGCTATTGGTCAAGCAGTGTTTAATAGGAACCGAATGAAGCGTGTACCCAAAGGCCAATCTGTTTTCACAGTCGTAACATGAAATAATTTAGCTTCGTGCCAAACAGTGGTAGAAGGTTGCTGGTTGGCAAACTTCCTAGAGGCCAGTTTGGCAGTGATAGCGGCCTGAAGGTAGGCAAAACAACGTCCTAAGTATGGCAATAATTCAAAATTTAATCCCTTCGTTGTAAATCCTAAGCTACCTCATGGTGAGTTAAAAATTGGCGCCATCATAGAGTTGATTGCTCCTCGATTAACGGCTGCCACTCATCAGCACGTAGTCAGATGGTGACGGGAAAAGCAACGTCACTTGTGATTGGCTGATAAATCCAGCCCCACAATCGATTGCATCACCCAGCCACGTGCAAGGGTCATTGAGATAAATTAATACATTACGTCACTCAAACGTGATTGGTTGGGTTTCTAATTAACTACTGTGCGCCAATTTCGAAAACCTTATTTGCCATCTCTCTTTAGAAGGAGCAGCACTAAAGAGGACAGTCAAAGAACCTGCAAATGAAAGCAATAAAAGATCAGAGTCAAGTTTTGAATTTCTGGCTTGACGACGAAGGTAAGGAGATTTGCGTTATTTTATTTCTAATCCCCAAAATTTAGCCTTTGCTTTTGAGCACTCCGTAGCAGCATACAAATATCTGTCCTTACGTTACGTGAGGGCTCACGTCCAGTTTCTTTAGAAACTACATTACGAGCAAACTTTCTGTTTGCGGTACAACGACGTGCATGACTACCTCTACATGTGACAATTGCTTCTCAAGGAATTTCTACTTGTTGGCAAAAAACAACAGGCATGATTTTAACACTGTTCAGAAGTAAATTTGTTGAGGTACTTCTCGCTCCAGAAAATGGCGCGAAAACAAGTTTCAAAGCGTTCAGGAAGCGTCATCCTTAACAGAAACACGTGCGCTTGTAGCTAAATTTGGAAGTGCATTCAATTGCATAACCCAATCACGTGCAGGAGGCATGAAAATGGCGCGAAAATAAGTTTCAAGGTTGATATCTGTATAAGATAAGGCGCGAAAAATAGGCTAGTTTCGAACTGTTTGTGCGAGAAAGTCTGGTAACTAATTATTAGCACCAAACCGAGGCTGAGGGGAATACGCGTTTATTTTGAAAGTCGAATATGAAGTTTTGTTCCATTTTTGTGTGTAAAAATAACTCTTAAAAAGTTGGAGTTCACGTCCATCAAGAACCTGCATGCATGCTCCAAATTTAAGCTTCGAGACTAAACAAATCGTGAAGACACTTTTTGGAATTAAAAGGTTAGCACACGGCACGGTTCCAGCAATATTTAATCAGCATACAGTTCGTAGAAGTCCAAGTCAACGCGACAAAAGGTCGAATGAGTGGAGAAAACGAGACGCTAGCGAAGAAATCAAAGAAGTACTTCCCGCTAAAACTTTTCCGTGTTTCTTCTGATATTGCTCTGAAAGACCAGGAGTACGCCCTTAAGAAAACAAAGTTTATAGAGAAGAAGCTTTCAAAGAAAAGGAATATCTGACTGTTTTTTGCCAAACACACATTGACCTCCAACAAATGGATGATATGATAAAAAAGTTTATCGATGGTAAGAGGTAAACAATTCGAAACGAACTCAATAACAAGCCAGCATTTAAACGGGAACTTTTCATGGACGATGTACTGGAAAATGACGAATCCGTGAAATTCTTCACGGCATTTCCAACTTTGGCCTGTCATCAGTTAAACCGTGGTACTTCAGATCCTCCACATGCCTGTCAGTAAATGAGCAAAAACCCTCAAGACTTTTATACAACCGTAAACAGTCTTCATCGTAACCATCTTTTCTAACCAGATAATGGTGAATATCGGGAAACCTGAAGTCTGTAATACCGGTGAAGTCATGGGTCCAAAATTTAAGCGAAAGCGAGTGGGGAAGCAATTTTCCTCCTGGCAATGTTATCTTGGAATTAATCAACTCGTCGCGTTGCACTGTGTCCTTTTCAAGTTTTGGAACTTTTATTTCAGCTGCGTTCTTGCAAAGCTCTAGCAGTTCTGCCCTTTTCCTACATTTACCGTTTACAGAAATTTGAATATCCCTTTTCTTTAAAAGTCTGGAACTTTCATATTCGTGAAGACATCATTCCCTCCCATGTTGAGACGAGTCGTATTCCCCTCAGCCTCGACTTGATGCTGAAAACTATTTACCAGATTTTCTCGCACAAACAATTCGAAACTAGCCTATTTAAAGCTCCTTTGTTGATCTTACTATCCCAGCAGCCCCTACAGCCCTATAAAAGAGAGGAGTTGTATATTGACGAGGAAGAGGACATCGCAGAAGAGTTCAGCTGATAACCAGTAAATCAGGAAATCCACGAAAAGGTGCGTGCGCTGCTTCCATCTCTGCTTCCTCTCAATCCTCCCAGTCTGTGGACTGTTTCTCGTCATACTTACCGATGAAATTTATTCCCCTACGAGAAAATAGAAGAAAACGTTTCTTTCGCTACATAGTTGTTTTACGAATCATTTGAGGGTTGCAACCGACCAAGGGATCATTCTTTTAAACATGGCTTGGGGGCCGAATGATCTCTCCCCCAGTGACGTCGGTTAGAACCCAACACCAATTGGCCGTTTCACCAGTAGCAAGACCCGGAGACAGGTCGTAACGACAATTTGCTTCGTGCGACATGGACAAAGTTTTTAAAAAATCTTTTCCTTTGAGAGCGGATGTCTCTAAAGCAATTTGTAGACAAATTATGCCTTGCTTGATTTCGTGTGTATCATAATCACAGTAAAACGAAGGTATGCTTTTTGTATTGGAATGGTACACAAGAATCAATTTGTCCAAGTATCAGTCTGTCTTCTGGAATTGTCGTTAAAAGTGGATTTGAAAACGAGAAAGAAATTTTAAGTAGTTAGAGGTTCTAGCCGACCAAGGGATCATTCTATATACGGCTTGGGGGCCGAATGATCTCTCCCCCTACGGTGTCGGTGAAAAACCATCCTAATTGGCCGCCAATCGTTTAGTGAAGTATCTATCAGCCCTTAACATAAGGTTTCAGTATAATACGATGATTAAATTTTGAATTAAGCCCCTCTTTTAGGAAACCATTTGTTAAAATCCTTTGTAAAAGAGTTTGAAGCTACGATCTATCCAAGGCTAGATGTTCCAGGATAACGAGATAACCCTAAGCAACCTTAAGAATAGGCGATTTTTGAAACCTGCTGTACACTCTGCCAGGATATCTTGAGTGAAGGATTGGTTGATGTTGAATTTTTTGATACCATTTTGAAGGAACACATGAAAAAGATCCATCTGTATAAAAATGTGTTTTAACCACATTCGAAGACCCTTCTTGTAAAGTTCTTACTCTTTGAAACATCATAGTGCAGTCAGTTTAATCATTTTATATGTGATTTTCTATGGCGGGATAGTAAACATGTAATACCTTAACATACATCTCTTTAAATACAGGTTTCATGATTAATTCATAGACACTTTTAAAACATCGCACAATTTATGTTGGAGAAACACTCTTTTCTATCTTTTCTCCACAGGATGGCCTTTTCTGAAATACAAAATATAGGAGCAATTTTGCGCGACATAGGCGACGAGACGAACCAGACAGCGCAGGCCAACGAAAATGTTGCGGTTGTAATCCTCTTTATTTTTCTTACATGGACACATAACCAGCAGAGACAAGAAAGCTACGAGGGAGGCGCCATTAATCTGATCAATCTTACGGTATTGATCATGAACAATTCAGAAGGTCAATGAAATATTTGCTCTTTCCAAAGAAAAATTATGTATATTGTTCAAGAAAACGATGTCGGAAATAATACTGTTATAGAGAGTTAAAAGAGAATACTTCCTAACAGCAGGTGGGATAATTATCAAAGTCACGTGTTCTAATGGATATCAAGAGGCGAGCTCGTAAGGGAAATTATTATGTTCGGTGGAAATGCCAAGAATTATTGAGAAAATATGTAACAAATTAAGTTATATAGATTTTTAAATTGGTTTATCATCTAGGAATTACAATTTTTTAGGTAGTTTAAAATTTCCTATATTGGTATAGAAATGGCTTTAGACTGTCAAACAAGATTTTATTGGGGAAAGAGGGGGCCAAAAGTTATTATTATGCCAATATCACAGTCAAAATATAAATTATTAATTCCATCCAAAATTTATTTGAATTAAGTAATGAAGTTTGTTTATAAATACAATTTCACCGTGAACGAACTCGCGGTCTAATGAAGAAGATTAACATTCTAGATTGTCATGAAAGTTGGTTTATACTAAGTAAGTTTTAACATAGCATTGTAGGTAAGATCAGCAGAATTTTAGGACAATAGAAACGAAAAAAATCAATGCTTCTTTCCTCTTGTTCCATTTGGGCTATTGGTGACCACTCTCCCCACTCCTCCTTCGTTTCTGCACCAACAGCACCACCCAGCATCCTGAATAGTCTTTTTGGGAGTGCGCAGATACAGTCAATCTACCTTCATCATTCAAAGTCATCTGTTAAACGCAGCTGGTTAAACGTCCAAACATTTCAGTTTCTCGGTGACCTACGCGATGATCCATGAAACATGGCCAAGGTAGTCTTTTTATTAAAAGACATACATCAATAGATGAATCTTTTGATCAATGTCAGTACCTAAGCAACTTCGCCCCTTCCCCTCCCCTGATCCAACATTAACCCTAGCTTGTTATCAGGGGAGACATGGGTGTGCAGTCGCTCAGATACTGACATTGATCCAATCTTTCTATTTCCACTTCACGGCGAAAATCTCAAACCTTGCGAATAGTGCTTCTGGACCTTAAATATTTTCCGGATATTTCAGCAGTTGACATTTCACCATGGTTTTGGGACTTCTTTCTAGATTTCCCAGCTTATCTCTTCTACTTCTCTAAAGGGGTCCACTGATGCCATCCAAGAAAGCACATTTAAATTCCCTGCTAGGCATTCAATCCTCGTGTGCAAAAGTTCCCCATTTCGCTCACCAAACACGCATTTAGCGAGATTCTCATGTAAGAAAATTGATTTCAAACAAGCAGTTGCGCACGCTTCCTCTCACTTTTCACACCGTACTGTCATTTTTCGCCTTATAGTTCTCTTTGTAGTCAGTCTGTATCACATCCGGGAGATTCGATAATGACGCACTATTACAGGAACAAGTCATACCGGTTTCAAGCGAAACATGTTCTGTTCTGCTTTGCTCTGGATCCTAGGAGTAAAATATTTAAACAAATATCGTCAATGTAGTAAATTGTTTTAAATTCTGCTGAATCAACAATACAGCTATAAACGCTTTCATCGGGAAATTAGGAGAATTATTTGATTTTCACTCTTTTTTTTCTTAATTCTTTACACCCTAACATCAGTATGCATATCCTCCATACTCCATTCTACCATATATCTCTTTACATTACCTAAGGTGTTAAGGAGAATTTGTATAACAATTAATTCAAGAGCTTCTTTAGTTTGTGATTATTTCCTCTATTGTCGTGACCCTAATGTTTGTTTCAGGAGTGATAATATATAGATTTAGCCAAGCCTAAAAGCGCAGC